TTTAATATTTTATAATATTATTGAAAACTTATAATTTTAATCTATATAATTTTATCTTATTTTTTATTTTATAAGTATAATTTAGATTATTTATTTTATAATTAAATTATTATTTTTAAATATTATAAGAGTTTACATAAGAAAAATGTATTGAAACACCTCAATCTTTGAGGGTACCGTAGCATTCGTTTGCCTCCTCCGCTGCTCTTCCTCGTGGCGGCCGGAGAGGTGTCTGCATCGCGTGTGAGTCGGTGTTTGAGGTCGTTGGAAGCCATGGAAAGAGAAGCGAGTGGGGAAGTGAAGGGTGGCATTTTTGGTTTTAAAGGAGATTGCGTGGACACGTGTGCATGAGACATGTACAGTGACAGAGGAAGACGTAGATAGGAATGTTGTGGAAGCAGCTCCAAACTGCACGTGGATATATGCCATTTCGTTCTTTTTCGGCTTTCCCTATCCACATACACCATAGGATTAGGAACTCATGACCTCACCCCACCCCACACCACACCGACACCTGTTCTCTTCTCTTTACTTCATTCGCCTTGCCTTTGCCGACATACTATTATAAAACTAAACAAACTCTCAGGAATTTAATGAATCCAAACACTTAATGTTACTGCCGTTAATTCAATCATTGCTATAGTCTACCAATTCAATACTGTAATAGTACAAGGTAAAACGAACCATAATGCTGATGATGAGGTATAACATATACGTAGAATGAGTTCAAATCCTCTCTTAACTCAATATTGAAAGAATATATTTGTCCTTCATTCTTGAAAAGTGAGTAATTTAAAGATAATCAAGAGGATAAAAACATCTAAAGAAAAATGTGTATATGAAAAATTGTATTGTCTTTATAAATTATTATAAATTTTTAAAAAATATTAACCATAAAAATTATTTTAATTGTGAGAGTTTATATACGAGAGGACAAAGTTTGTGATTTATTTTTGTAAATTGAGCGATAAAACTCTATGAAAATAAATTTGATAAGATTGTGTAGTTTTGGTATGTAAAAGTTCAATTAAAACTAATAACTATTTTTAAGAATTGTTCTTTATTAACCGTTTGTACTTTGTACCAACAGTGTATAATTTATATTATTTTTTATTCTGTGAAATTTCTAAAATTCATTTTTAATCCTCTAATTTTTTTTGTTTTATTTTAATTCCTTTAATTTAAAAATGTGCTAGTTTTAGTTTTTAAAGAGATTTAAATAGTGCTTTATAACTGTTTTTAAGCACTATTTAAACTAAATGTGATGTATTTTCAAATTAAAAATATAAAAATAAAATAATTTTGCTTACAGAAAGTAAAACTGAATTTAATTTTTTTAGAGAGAATGAAAACATGTTTTTTTTTCTTGCAATAAAAGGAAGAGTGTAGTCGTTGGGTGAAATGGCCCACGGGATTAAGCCCAGAAACGAAAACTAAAAGAGAGAAAAGCTTCTTATTCATGTTTGAATGAATCCAAATCCAAGTGAGGGTGTTGATCGATGAAATGGAAATTGGAGGCAGAAAGTTGAAAAGCAGAGAAACGATGGCCGTCAAATCGGTGACGCAGTCGTCACCTCCTCCGAGATCAAGAGGAAGAACCTCTCTACTCCAAAACCCCAAAACACCCTTCGCATTCGCTCTTCTCTTCGCCGACGCACTCCTCGTCTTCCTCATAATCGCATTCGTCCCCTGTAAGTTTCAATTCCACATCTTCTCCTTCAATTTCAATTCAATGCAGAAGCTGGAACTGAGCGTTTAACAATTTCAGATACGAAGATAGATTGGGACGCTTACATGTCACAGGTTACCGGGTTTCTCGAAGGAGAGAGAGATTACCGCAACCTTAAGGGAGACACTGGTCCTCTTGTTTACCCTGCAGGTTTTCTATACATTTACTCTGCATTTCAGTATCTCACTGGAGGACAAGTTTACCCTGCCCAGGTCACGCATTCTACTAATCTTTTACTCAATTTTTAACAAATCAAATCATTCATGCTTAAGTTATGCGTTCTTCTTTTCTTATTGCAGATTTTGTTCGGAGTGTTGTATATCATTAACCTAGCTATCGTTCTCGCCATCTATGTCAAGACCGATGTGGTAAGGGCATGTTTGGATAAACTCTTTTAGAAGCACTTTTTTTTTAGAGAAAAATGAGAATTAAAATGAAATGAGCTTCTCTAATTCACTTATGCATGAGTTAATCTAGGAGCTTTCCCGTTACCTTCTCTGAAATTTTAGTCTTATTTTTTTCTTCTTAGAAGTGTTTCCGAAAAAGTTTATGTAAACAGACTTTAATACAATCATTCTCCATCATAGCAATGATTCAAGTAAATTTGTTCTCATTGTTTTTTGAAAACTGGAATGTTTGACAGGTTCCGTGGTGGGCACTCTGCTTGCTTTCTCTGTCGAAAAGAGTGCATTCCATCTTCGTGCTTCGTCTATTCAATGATTGTGTGGCGATGACACTTCTTCATGCTGCATTGCTCTTGCTCGTGCACCGAAGGTGGAATCTTGGGTTGATTTTGTTTAGGTAAATGCTCGCTTCCTAAACTTGTTTTTTTTTGTAAGGATGATTGGATGACATGTTTACGTGGCTTCTCGTGATTGAATTTTTAGTGGAGCTGTTTCGGTGAAGATGAATGTGCTTCTTTATGCTCCACCTTTACTGCTCCTCATGCTCAAGGTACACACATACATACATGCAATGTTTACAGTTATCTTGTGGTGCATTTTTTGTCTCATTACATGATGATAGCCTGCTTTTCTTCACATACATGCAGGCTATGGATATCAGTGGTGTGTTATTGGCATTAGCTGGTGCAGCACTGGTTCAGGTCTTTTACCTTTCATTTTCTCTGTATATTTGTGATTCTATAATTGCATGCGGCTGTTATTTTCATCATACAAAATGCTTTTAATAGTAGATACCTGATGGTTGGGTGTTATTTTTCCTTAAATAATCTTTCCATATTGTCAGGTGAGTTTCTTCTTGAGCTTCAAGAATGATTGGTGCTCTATAGTGAGCAATGTCCAATTTTGGTAACATTAGTTAACTCCTACATGGTTAACTACCTATACAGATATTATTGGGGCTTCCTTTCCTGGTTTCGTATCCAATTGCATACATATCAGGTGCCTTCAATCTTGGCCGTGTCTTCATCCATTTCTGGTAATTGAGATGCAAACTGTTTCATTTAATTCAAACATCAAATGATTTAGAGTAGGATCTTGAGGTTGGTGTACTGAGTTTGTGTTACCCTTAAATTTGAGGGTTTAAGTGTACTTTTTTTACTAGGTTCAGTTAGGTGTTCCTGATGCATTATTTCAATTGTGTTATCAGGTCTGTTAACTTCAAATTCATCCCTGAACCAGTATTTGTGTCCAAGGGATTTGCAATCTTTTTGTTGGCTGCCCACCTGCTATCACTTGCTGCATTTGCGCATTATAGTTGGTGCAAGTAGGTATAAGAGGTTTATTATATTTTATTTTATTATTATTTTCTAATAAAAAATGGTAGGAACCCCCTTCAACTATAAGTCAATTGCTGAAAAGCCCTCCTTTGTTTAAAACTCAGCAAGACTTCTTGAACTTACCAAACTGTACATATTGACTCCCTACAGGGGCTTTCTGCACATGTATGAGGGGTTAAATTTGCAGTTTAACTCTAGCCTGCACAATTTATTAAAGTTAGGGAGGTGAATTGCTGAGTTTTGGGGGTTTTCTGATATTAACCTATAGCAGGAGGGTTTATATGTATATTAGATAAGGAAACCTTAATTTATCTGGTCAACTTATATATTTGACAGTTCCTTATCTTCTGTTTTGACTCAATAAATAATGAGAACCACTGATGCTTTTATAGTACCAAATGCTGGGCAGTGAGCATAAACTAAGTGTTGTAGAGGTGAAAATGTTGTGATGGTTATTATACATGTTAGAAATTTAGAATAGATAAGATGAATGAATGCATTAGAGAGAAAGTAGTAGAGGCACTTATTTGGGAAAAGATGGTAAAATTGCATCTATGATGGGTTGGCCATGTTGGAAGAAGACCAATAGAAGCTCAAATGACTAGAGTTGATTAGATAGAGGATAGCCTAATAGTTGAAGGCAGAAGAAGACCAGGAAAGATCCTTAGTGAAACCCATAAAGACCCTGTTTGGATAAACTTCTCCATTAAGTTAAAATGGAGCATCTCCCTTAAGTTAAAATTAACTTATGTTTCTTACTTTTCGAAGAAGATAGACGAGAGAACTTATGTGAAAGTATAAGTTGATTTTAACTTATGGAAGAAGCTCAATTCATTTTGTTTTTCTTATTTTTTTCTCCTGCAAGTACTTATGGCATAGCCTAAAAAAGATTTGGATCTAGATGGCTTCTCCAAAGATCTACTTTTTGACATTACACAATGGCATTGTTTGATATATATATATATATATATATATATATATATATACAGTTAGTCCCAAGTAGGGGGAAATGGCTTTTGACTTTGATGGTGGTGGTGATGGTGTGACTAATATTTTAATATTGGCCATGCCATGGACCTGCCTCCCAAAAGTTTCTATCATAATTTGGATATATAGGATTTCTGATGTATATATAATTGAAATATTCATGCAGCTGGGTTATATATATGTTCACTTATTTATTTGCTTACAGACATGAAGGAGGGCTATGCAACTTTCTGCATTCTAGATATGTCTTTATGAGACTGAGGTTTGCGCTTTTCTTCTCTTCCACTTTTTCTAAGAAGGTTGGCAAGAGCAGTTCATCATCCCTCAAGGTCCTTACTAAAGAACGTAAGGAATCAGTCTTATAGGATTTAAGAAGATAACATTACTTGCAATTTTTATGATAGGTGATGCTAAGTTTTGAATTTTGCTCAGATATTGTGACAACTATGTTTGTCGGGAACTTCATTGGCATTGTATGTGCTCGGTCATTGCATTACCAGTTCTATTCATGGTGAGTCTGCTGGGAATATTTTTCTGTTAATGATACAACCACTAGCTTGCTGCTTAGTTTATTTTTACTCATCAAAATGATGTATAAAAGGGGGAAAAAAAACCTTGTAACAGAATCAGGTTATATACATTCTATTAAGATGATGGGAAATGCACCTATGACCAATGTGTTCTATTTCTAATACAGTGAGTCATTCTTCATAGAATTATTTTTCCACTTATTGCCATGTACGAGATGATTGTATATTGGCCAGCTTTTCCTCCGAGTTTTCATCTTTGCTGATATTTCAATTGGTGTTGTCCTTCTTGTATATGTGTTATGGGTAAACCAACTTTTCCCATTGATGGCCAATTACTAATTCTCTTATACAATAGATCATATTTTCTCATAAAGTATTTTCGTTGTTTTTGTTGAACCTTGAACAAATTATGGTAGACAGATATTATACACACAAAACATTTGTTCGCTTTTGTGGTTGAGTAATGCTAAATCCTCCCATAAATCTATATGGAAAAGTAGATGTATTCAATATTTTCCACGCAAAGGAAGTAGGAAGATTAGTAGGAGGATGTTGTAGGACGATTTAGTATTATTCCGTGGTTTTTTATTCTAAAAATACAGTGTGCTAACTCTTGTAATTTGGCTTATGATACAGGTACTTCTATAGCTTACCTTACTTGTTGTGGAGAACGCATTACCCAACATTGCTGCGGTAGGTTAACCCACATCCAAGTTGTTTATTTTTTTTAACGAATTTATTTTGTATTGAATTCATAAGTAATTTATTTCTCTACGCGCTCAAGCAGTTTGATTTTGTTCGTGGGAGTGGAGCTGTGCTGGAATATCTATCCTTCTAACAGCCTTTCTTCTGCGCTACTTCTCTGCCTTCACTTAATTATTCTATGGGGTTTGTGGTCTGCTCCGACAGAGTATCCTTATGCAGAAAGTAAACCATCCTCTCACAAAAACAAATAGAAATTCCCAAAGGTTTTCCCCCTATTTTGTGGAGGAAAAAAATATGACCTGGACAAATGATATTTTCCTTATCAGTTATCACCCCTTCCCCGTTGATGTAGATGTATGTGGCGTATCTTGGTGCAAGCCTAAGGATAACTAACTTACGTAAAACAGAATGTAGGAGCGACAATTCTTTAGATATCGGTGTCAACATTTTGTAAATTTTGCATTTAGTAATTAAATGATGAGTGTGTCAAAGGGAATTATTGGCATTTAATAGCATAAAGGAATTGATATTTAGAAAGAAAATATGTTGATATTTGATAACTAAAATGAGGAAATGAGAATTTTTCTTTGTCGAATAAGTTGCCAGACGAATATCACTAAATTTGTTGGTATCCTGCAATTTATTGTTATTGGTTTCTTTTGTGTTTTAATTTTAATGTGAGTAGTATGGTTATTTCAAAAGTGGGGAATGACTTGCCCATGCATCTATTGTTTTTTTTTCCTCCTTTAAGTTATGCATTTGATATGTGACGATTTCCCGTCCTTTTATAATGTTAAAATTATCAATAATGGAGTGAAATGGCATAAACTCTTCAAATATGATCCCGTGCGTGCAAATTATTTAAATAGAATCGAATAACGCTGAAAGACTCTTCAACTTTTCCTTTTTTAAAATGAGAAAAAAATAATTGGTTCATTAATAAGGAGTGTGTTTTGCCAAATACGGGTAAGCTCTTGAAGGCTTGACAGACATCAAATAAAAATTGACATCTTTTGTCGGTTGAGTTTTTATTTTATTTATTTTTTTTATTTGTAAAGGTTAAAATTCAATTTCTTATCACTTGATTAAGTGATATGAATTTTTTGTTATTTGTATTTTTTAAAATTAATTAAAAAAATGAGGAAATGACTCATTAGTATAATATATAGATAACCAATCTTATGTTTTTTTAATTATAAAAAAATGTGTATGAGCTAATATTTTTTATCCATTAATATAAAATTAAAATAAAAGAATAGAATAGTAAATTAAAATAAAAAGCAAGGCTAAACTGTTTAGGGTAAAATTTAATAAGCATTGGCCCTGAAGTGAGTGAGAAATTAATTTTAACGCACTGTCAATATAAAGATTTTACAGTCTAAACAGAAATTATTTCAGGTATAATTTTAAAAATAATTGGTATTATAAAAGTCAAATAAAATTCATAATGTGTAATTAGAACATTTACTATGTCAAAATATTCTAATTAAATTTAATTAAAAATTATGTCGGCATTTTTTTACTTCTTTCTTATTAAAGTGTGCGTGGAGAGGAAAAATGGTAGTGTTTGGTGTGTTTTATGTAAATATGTAATTGCGTGAGTCGTAGAGTGAAGAATATACTTATACTTGCTGGGTAAGATTAAATGGACCCTAGTGGAAGTGTGAGTACCCCCTTGACCCTTGTTTGTTCGTTGTTTAGGCTTGGAAATTGATTGGATTTGCAGGTGCAGCATCATGGTTAGGCTCTCTCTTTCTATTATTGTTCCTATTCGTTGCCTGGCTTTATTCTGTGCGTGTTCATATACGATTATCAATTTTAATATTTAATCGCTTAGGATTTTCAAAATCCAATTCCAAAACCGGCTCATTAATGTAGAGTACCAGTAACCAATTCAGTTTCCTTTTTGAGTTTGTATGGCTTAATTAGGGATCTTCTGTGGTATTAATATATTGGAGCTTATTGCATTGGATGGTTAATTGTCATTTCTATTTTATCTCACTTGTTAAGCTTTGGTTCCCCTTTCCTTTTGATGACAGGACGGACATGATTCAGAAGACCCAAAGCAAAACACGGCTGATATGACAGCTTTTGTAAGTTTTTAAGCATCTTGAAAAGTTAATCGTTCTGATCCACGATTTTCATTTGCATGTGTTTATGTGAATGTAAATAATGCTAGTAACTGGTTGTCCTCACGATGAAAGTGGGAATAGTATGCAAATTGGTGTCGTACCGATTGTAACATCTAATAGATTTTAGACTACTGGTGTAATGTTTTGAGCCATTTCTGTTGAGTGTTGTCCCAAATTCCATAACGAGAGTGCGAATATGCAAATTCATCTATATGTTGTTTACATTAGGGATAGGTTCCAGTTAGATGCTTTAATCTATGCTCTTGTTTGTCAAGTTTTGACCTTTGTCTGTCCTCTTTCTCTCTCTTCAGGTGCAAAATCTTCTTCAGCAGATGGTGAGTTGAATACTCAACTACGCATGTAGTCCTGTATCGCTGATTTTCAGTATATATTACACTGCTGCTAACAAGAATTTTGTTTCCAGCAAACTAGGTTCCAGACAATGTCCGACTCCATCATTTCAAAGAATATCCTTTTTGACACTGTTCAAGTTGATAGATGACAGGAGATCTTAGGTGGTTTTCTTGTTGCTAACTTACTTTCGATAATAACAATCTTGCAAGGAATGCCTTTGGAGATTTGGTTAAGTAGGGAGTTTCAAAGTTTGGTTATGTCATGTTTAAATCCTTGAATTGTTTGTTTTGAATTGCTCCTTGTAATTCACGGGCCACTCCATTATACTATAAAATGGGAATCAAAATTCAAATCCATAATATGAATATGATTGCATATTTACACACAGATGGTAAATTATTTCTGCACACAGTTGCATCTTGATCCTTTTCTTTATAAACTCAAGACATCAACCTGTGCAAAGTGTGCAAAATTTGTGACTTTTGACTTTGTGCTATTTATGTACTACGAGTGTGATTGAGTGGTGTCATCTATGCTGGCTAAGCCAGGATGGGCTATGATACCAATGCTATTGCATGATTGCTGCTGATTTGCTTATTATTCAAATTGCTTAAGTAATGTTTTTCTTGACGTCAATGCACTTGATGAGATGGGAAACCGTATAGAGGAGTTGGAGCAAAACATCAACGATCTAAGAGCAGAGATGGGAGTGGAGAGCACTCCATCACTGTCCCCTGCTAAGCCAAAGGAAGAAGAGTCGAAGAAAGAAGAGGGTTCTGCTTGAGTAACATTTCCTGTTCAACTGCCGTGTTTTCAATGGGTCTCGTGATACATTCCGGATTTTGTTACTGTGTATCTAGTGGACTTTCTCTTTGGTAGCTAAAACTCACAGTTCAAACTAAGTAAAAATCACAGTACTGTTGATTAATTGTGTGAGTGTGTGTGTGTGTGTGTGTTTTTTTTTCTTCCAATTTGAGATGAGCTAGACTGGGTGCTATTTGTGGATGATATTTCTATTTTCGATATTTTAATATTTAAATTTCGATTACTTCATTTCCCTCCTCCCCTCTTCTTTTTGCATGTTTTGGGTTGTCTCTGTTCATTAGTTTTGGATTGCACAACCTCCAAAATTTCATAAAGACAAGAACCAGGGCAGTTTTTAAACAAAACAGATTTTGTGCACTTCATTTCAATATAATGAACAACTGTTACTCGAAAATATTTCCCTGGAAAAACAATAGGTAAATGTTGTGTGCCTTTTAATTTCACGTCTACCACCTAACTTTTTCATCCCTCTTTGGACATCTTACGCAGCAGCTCTATTCTATTATATATAGCTGTAATAGTGCTCTAACAAGTTTTACTCATCCCCGTAGGAGGACCAAACACGGTGCCCGAAAGAAAAATAGTCTAGCCTAAAACTTATTATTACTGTTGTTGTTTTCAGATCAAAATAAAAGCCTAAAAGTAAAATAGATACATTTAAGAATTTAATTATGATAATATTTTATTTTGTACTGTTATTTAATCAATTTGTCATGAGTGAATGGTAGGTGTTGACTTTTGTAATTGCTATTAAAATTACATTTATGGTGATTTCTAATTAATAGTAAAAAAAATTATATTAACAATGCATAAAAGATATGTTATTTTAATCTTGTTTATTTCTAGATTCTTGAAAGAAGAGATGCACAAGATATATCATATCTTTACTACTATTCTTCGCACATGAGCTTCAATAAGTAACTATTAAAGCATGTAGAGTCCGAGATAATCGGTTCAGTGTAAAAAAGTTCATATGGATTGACTTAACATGAACAATTCATTTGGTTTTACTACTGTTTACTTACAGTTCCCAATAGCTGCCTAGCTGTTTATGTGCATTAAAAAAGATTTTGAGATTTGCAAATCCGTATTGAAAACTCAACACCATCTGAATTGACGAGTTTTTTAATCGGTTAAACTCCTTATAAAATTGTTTAGTTATGAATGCAAACATTGTATGTAAACATCATGTTTCTAGCATTCTTTTTTCCCCGTAATCAGAAACTCGTGTTTAAGGTGAAATAAGCAAATGAAAGTGCACAAACATTTTTTGTATAGCACACCAGTTAAGATTAATTTACATAAAATTACAAAAGCAAAGGAAAACAACATTTAAGGTAAAACATAACAAGGCTGAACATCATAATTCATAACTAGAAGGCATAGGTGTAATTAAAGTAAGGGTAATAATGCACATCAACAATTTTCATAACATCATTTTGAATGTCTATTTCTCTAAATCATTAATAAATGATGTAATAGAGATAGATAGACGTATAAAATGTTGCATGAATTTGTTGTAATAAGTATCATTTTCCTTAGAAAGAAAGTTGAGGTTGTTTTAAGAATTACGACAACGGGTGATGGTGGGGCAGCCACGAGTGTAAGGATTAGCTTCTGCACCTGGCTTGCAGTTGTAGTAGGAAGCACCCCTCCTTGAGCATGGCACAGTGTTACGTTGCAGCGCCTTGTAGCTTATATACTGTGAGGTTGCTAAAATGCGCCGGTGTGACTCAGAATCCATTCCAAACTCACCATCTCCTATGCACTCTTCTATGGAGCCTTCGCAAGGTGGTGCTGTTGTCTTAGGCACCCACCTTAGGCGGTGCTCACCTATTGCACCCGCTATGGTGGGAAAGAACAACATGGCCACCATGAACACGTACAAGGCCATTACAAAAGAAGCACTTGACATTGTTTTCTAGTGAAGAAGCTGCTCTTAGTTTCAACTCTTCCATTCTTTCTATTCTACCCTTTTATAGAAGCTTACTTGGACTAAACTTACTTCTAGGAGAATTTAAGTTTACTGATAAACTACAATAAAGTTGATAGATATATGAGTTTTTTTTTAAATTGAGGAGTCTTAGCATACTTTCTAACACTCACTTTTATATATATATATATATATATATATATATATATTATTAGTTGATAATTAATAAAAAGTTTTGTGAATTTTGTATCTCATTTAATGAATTTCTCTTTCGATAGAATTCAGTAAAATTTGTAATTTTCAATTAATAATAGAAAAAATATTAAAAAGAGAATGTTAAAGTGAGTGTCATTATTATTTGTCTTCTTAATTATGTTGTCACGAATTTGATTCTAAAAAAGAATTTGTTAAAAGAGATAAAATTCATTATTAAAAAAAAATAGTAAGACACAATTGGTTGAGAGATATATTTGGTGCAATTTAAAAAATAAAAAAGGATTTCAATTGTATAACAAGGGGCTGTTTTACGGAAATGACACTTTTGTTTTTCACTAGGTTAAAAATAGTTAATATCCAATTGTTTGGCTCTCTTAATGTTAGAATAATAGTGATAATGAAAATAATAATACTAACCTTCTAGTAATTTTCAAGTTCAAATGTGTTTCAATTGCTGAGAAGAAAGTTAGGTACACGATAAACAAGATGATTCAAAACCTACCAAGAAAATGATATTAAGAATGAAGGGGAATGAATGATACTAGGTTTAGATTCAAAGCACTAACTAGTTAAGTCTGAAAAGTGCAGTATTGGGCCTAAGATGTATGGATTACGCAGACGGATAAAATCAATGTTTTGTTGCGTTTAGAGCCCTTAAAAATTGATGTTGGGTTTGAAATCATGTTGGCCACGAAAGACCACTATAAGTCATTTTACCTGCCAAATTCCGTTGGCAGATTCACATTCAGGATCTGCTTCTTCTTAAAGCAAGCAATCGTGCTTATCCTAAAAGAACAACATCAATACCATATCCATAAAATGTTAAAGGCGTAATCAATTGATTTTAAATCAAACGGGTGAAACCATGGGTCAGTTTAGTGATAGGTAATAGTATGCTCTTTACTATGTATGATAATTTCCAAACACACTAACCCATATATATTGAGAGTGCATCCTTCATATTGTGAATGGCCCTTAGAGCCTGTATGTAAAATAAATCTTTTTGAGAAATATTTTTTTATTTGTTTTAAAAATTTTCTGGAAAAGTTAAAAAATATATTTTTTTAAAATAAATTAATACGAAAAATATGCATGTCAACAAGTGTCAAATCGAACAACAAAAGCTTGGTTATTCTTAAATAAGATATTGAATTTGAGTTTTATGAGCAAAGAATGTAAATCTTGAAAGAAGTTTAACCCTACCTTTAAGTAAGTTTATGACTTAGACTTGGATTACATAGGATCCAATGTAATTTTAAATATTAAAAAATTAAGACGGAAAAAAAAAAAGAGTGATTCACGTGTTTGTTGTGTTTTGTAACATTGAAAATATTCGTAATTTATAACTCAGGTGTTCTATAAATAAATAACTCGTTTTTTCCCCGTAATTTCTCTCCTGCCAGGTGGATTAAGATGAAGTAATTTATTTTACAAAAGAAAGAACATTTTTTAGAATAATATTTTATTTTTTCAAAAGTTGAATGTATTTGACTTCTAAAGATTCGCCTCAGGCAGAATCCATTACGATTGCAACAGATGTTAACTCTTGTCGCCATATCATATTATACAAACCCGCTACAATCGATGATGGGGTTTTGGACCGTTATACACAAAAAATAAAATGAAATTACATGAAATATTGAAATATATTCTCTTTGCTAAATTTTACAGCTGAATTATCCCCACAGGCCACAGTTGATAGTTTTTAATTATGTATTTGAAAGTAATATTATTAGTCCAATATATGCATAATTAACAACTTAAGCCTTGGCAGCTGACAGTGTTACTTTCAAACTGCATGATTAGTACCAAGCTCAATTCGCGGAATTAAAATCAAATTTAAGTAGGATTAATAAATTCAGATGCATTCACGTGTCAATCTTAGTCTAAATACACAACTTCGCTCAAGTACAAAATAGATTTGTCACCAAAATATTTTATCAATATTAATATTCCTTTGTAACATTTACTTTGCAATTGTCTGTAGTGATCGTGGAGGAATGGATGTACAGTGTTTAGCTCAATGGTCACGAAAAATATTGATGTGGGACATTACCAACAAAGGTGATACCAGGACTATAATGACACTTGGACAGGGGAAAAAAAAAAAATTTGCACCCTCCGAATTCTTCACAATACTTCTCATCTTTCCAGCTTGCTTAAAAATGCTTCCATTGGGGGTAGCTCCTTCACAATTTGCTGCCAGTCAGGCATACCCTGTAAGCATTAGCACTTATTAGTACATTACTGAGTATGAGATACAGTATTGCAATCACGGGAGGTAAAAGAATCGGATAGTGAATTTCTTTAATAGTTTTAAGAACTCGTCACACAAAATTTCCGTTGAATCAAACTGGTTTGTTAAAAGTTCATAGTTGAGAAGTAATATATATTAATAACCCCTTTATACAATTTCAGCTAGTCAAGTGAAAAATATCACAATTACTGATAACACAGATGTAAAATGAATTCGAAGTATACAACAGTATCTGCATGATCTTCAAGCTTTGTAAACAAGTCATCACATAAAGGCATCCAAAATGATGAATCCGTATAAAGTAGTAATCCTTTCACGTTATGCTTGCCTTAAAGACAGTATTAAGAGCAGATCCGGCTTGTAAATCAAGTCTTGTGAAGCTCATAGTTTTTTATGAGAACCAGCAAGCTAATAAATGATAATTCCATAACAATGGTAAGAAAAACAAAACAAGTTTGCTCTGAAATGGAACTTACTTTCCCTGATCTTCGAACCCGTCCATCCAAGCGCAGTAATATGTACACATCTTCACCAGGTGATACTCCTTCAGACTTCTGCTGATCTCTTATCCACCTAGTTATAAGTTAGAACGAATTAGAATACAACTATTAGCAACTCTTCTCTCTCTCTCTCCACATTTCTCTGCAATGAACTTCTTAGTTGACATCAATCCACCTTTGACTATATATGCTGATGTTAATTTCCCCCTCATTTAATGAAGAAATAGATTATAATAGTAGCCAAGACAATATACAAGAAATCAGAGCATATTACCGTTCCCATTCTGCTGGCGATACAACCTCAGCTTTGAACCTAATTTCAGATTTCAACTTTGATTTCGCAGTTATGGACTGTGCTCGCTTCTCAAAATCTTCCTAGCAATGTTTTATGGGTCAGTATCATCTCATCAAAGAAACAAAGGCTTCTAACGAAGGGTGGGATTGGTGGGATTCATGAAGGTACATTGCTATATCGAGTCTTACCCCAATAGATGGAAGAGCTTCAGCAGCCTTTGGCTGTAGACCAAAACCTTTTTTCTCAATTTTTGTTTCCCGGCCTTCTCCCCAGATAACAGGAACTAACAGAACACCACGTCTAAGGAGCTCAGTGCGAAACCTCTCTGCTCTTTGAATAGCTGAAGACACTGTTTCCTTTTTTCCTGCTATTATAACCTAAAAACAAAGATTCGGTTAAAGCATTAAACATTCGTGTTGAAAAGGAAAAGAACAAAAGGGAATAAATAAGAGAAAACAGTAGAGGTTGCTACAAGAAAGAACAAATAGTCATCACTTGATACTCATATTAGTTTGTCACTAAATAATACTCTCTTCAGTCCTTTATATAAGAAATAAATGATTCATGAAAACCAACAAAACTGGTTAAAATAGTTAATTTTAATTAATAATGTCATAAATTTAATTTTTATTCCAAAAATATCCTTCCACTTAAATGGTTTAAAATGGTAAAATTTAATGACATTACACCTAATTCAAGGGATAATTTTTCTCACCAATGAATTTGACTTGTATTGTTAATAGACCAATAATTGCATCCATTTGCATGAGAAATGAGTAGGAGTCTCATTAATGATTTCACAACAAATGAAAAGTATAAAAGGAAATTGGTGTCAAAAAGAAAGTATAAAAAGGAAATTAGCAATTAATACTTCTTTAAGTGAGTCTATGTTTCAAATAATTAGGACAAAAAAAGAGTAGCTATTTGTTTCATATATAAAGGATCCAAGAGAGTAATAATTAGTACAGGACAGAATTAGGGAGAGGAGATATTAATACAGTAACTATTTGTATCTATGTATGTATATATAATATATAAACATTTAAAAAATTTGTTAGTCGAAAACCTAATGTGGGGAAAA